TAGTAAAACAGCAAAATTTTAGTGTTATATTCCAACTTTAGAAAGAGTACATGTATTTGTAAATAAAAAAAGAGCCTGGTAAAGGACTCATGTCTTTGGGAATAACAACTTTGGGAATGAGAACTTGAACAAAGATCATTCAGATTAATATGTTAAATTATTCACTCTATAAATCTTTTAATTTAACAGTTTAAAATTTGAGTCAAATCTGTGTTTACCAAATTTGAAATATTAGAGAATCTAACATGGTGGCATCTCAGATGTATACAAAAAGCAATGTATCACTATCCAAGTCATTCGCAAAGTTTATTTTGAATGTTTCACATGTATTTTTACTTGTGTAACAGACAACCTTCGGTTACATGACTTGAATAACTCTACATAACACACGCAGCAATTGTAAATATAGTTATGGGAAAGAAAAATTCTTTTGAGGTAATTTATCTAGTTTTTAATGCAATGAAAACAAACATGGTGAAAAAATGGGGTGTAATGTTGAAGAGTTCTGTCATTGGAATATCAGGAGAGATTTAAACACCCTGCAAATATATATTGTATTTCACTCAATATCTTGTTTCAAAAAATACACCATTAAGTGTAACATTACCAATTCTATCTTTACAAACCTCTTGTGTAATACGGAAAAAACAACAAAAAAATAAATGCGACACAGGATGAATCAGCACCAAGCACTAAATAATGGAGGCAGACTGAACCATGACAAAAAAAGATAACTTGGTGTAATCATTAAATCCTCATCCATGTTCATTGTTCATGGACAGTTGATAAAATCATCAACATTTATACCAGATAAAGGTAGAGTTGAAATACTGTATTGTTATAAATGCAAATATGGTTGTGTTCTCATTGAGAAATACTTTTGGAAATAGTGTAAGAAATTCATGTTATTCAATTTCTTTGGGTAAACTGTAGAATGGGGAAATTATCCGTTGGTGTTACATGTATGATATTAAATTCTAAAGTTATCTTTGTTACACCTAGGAAATGGTCAGGAGAGCTTACATGTAGATAACTCTGTAGCCAAATGAAATTTTTTAGCTTGACCAACTGTGTGGAAATGTAAACAAATTACAATCTGCTCTTAAAAGGTGTGGATAATAAAGTTGAGGTAAATGTATACATACATATACATGTAAATCATTTTGATTTTCATCCCAAAAAGATTGATCAGCCACCAGTTCCTTACACAATATTTTTCACTGAACCAGGAACAAAAAAATCTAGATTAAATTTTATTTTTATATACATGTAGCTCTAAGCAGTGATGACGTGGAGTGTGTAACTAACTAGTTTTAGAATCTTTCTCATTGTATGAATAAATTAACTTGCTGCTTGAACAATCATAATTTCATTTTTTTTCTAAAAATTTTATCTGAAATTTTCACATGCTTGCTGAGACTTGTTCATTGCTTTGAATCACAAATGACATTTCAAAACCCATCTTGATATTTTCAGTGTTTATAGCTTAAGTCAAACAAAGCATCACTAATATTGTTATTTTGAAACAGTATTATACATGTAAGCTTATATATTGCATAGTTTTGTCACACGATAATAAGGGCAGTTATTGTAATGATATCCATTGGGCGTAGGATAATCATATTTGATTTATTATGCATTTTCACGGTTAAATACACAGATAGTTATCAAAAGAAATGTGAGAAAATGTCAAATTATTTGGAAGATTTAAATAAACATAATGAAGTGTGACTAATATACAAAAAAACAAAAAAAAATATCTGTAACAGGTAAAATTATTTCAGTGACTAGTTGTGAAAGAAAGATATTGTAAAGGTTGACATTGTGTTTTATATTTTTCAATGTTCTCATGAGGCTGTGGGAACCTTAAACTTAGCCAATTTTGATCCTTTGTGAGCAAACTAACTACCTTTAAATAGTATTTATTTTTAAAGTAAAGCTGTGAAAACTATCATATCCTAGTCAATTACAAACACAAAACAACCACTGATGGCACAAATAATACATTTGTAATGGCCCTTTGTTTCCAGATCACATTTCACTTAATTGTTTTAATGCCTTCACAGAAAAGATTTCCATGTCTGCTTTCATTGCTTACACTGCTAAGAAAACATGATAGAAAATTAATTGGTTTCTATTTCAGGCAGGGTTTACTCTCAAAATCAAAACCATAACCAAAAGCCTTTAGTTGCTGCTGATCGTGTTGAGCAAGTTCTACATTTATTTACACAGGAGTAACGAAAGTTTGTCATTCATTGTCTACAGTAACACAAGTAGAACAAACAATACTACATGTAGCACGTCAAAATACATTTACACAAAAAATTATTTTCAATAAGCTTACACAATGATGAATGAGAACAGCTTGCAGGGGAAACAACTCTTTCTGTCAGAATTGTCAACAGTTGCTAGATAAATAATTACAATAATTATCCTGATCAATAATAAGTTCTTAGCTGTTATTGTCAATTGCTATTCAATATATTAAAATTGTATCAGATAACAATTGTGGCAAAATTATTAAAATTTGAAGAGTTTTTACTTAGTGATGGAAACCAAAGTCCTGTTTTCTATTTTTATGAATAATACAAGAGTTTTAAAAGAAGCTGTGATTTTCACATCAATTATATTTTAATATCATTGATGTGAAAATCTTATAATTATAAACTAGGAGTGTAAATTTTATAGGAAATTAGAACAGCAAATTACAGACAATCCATATTAACAAAAATTAGATATGTAGGCTACACCAAGTGGAAGCACTATATTTTGTAAATTTGTGACCAGACCGCATTCGTTCAAGAAAGCCCAATGGCATGTGTTATCAGCTAAGCATAACTTGTCTTCTTCATTAACTCCATAACAATAACAGCCATAGTTTTCTATATATTTGGTGGGTGAGTTGAAATTTACAACAGTCAAAAATAGCTCTCCCAGTTTGGACAAGGGGAGTGATTCCTTTCATTCATAAGACAGAAGTGCATGTACTTACTCAAGAGTCTATGTAGCCAGGACTTTATTCTAAGTAGCTTATAGGAGTCACTTTCGATCATTTGCCAATGATATAATAAATAACATATGATTTAATAGTGAATTTCAGTGTAAGGTACTTGACAAAAACATCTCCTCGATCAAGATTCATACGATTAATGGTGCTCGATGGTGATAGTATAACCTCTGTACTGTAGTACTAAGCATTTTTGCTGCACTTGTTGTTGCCCTTAGTGTTCAACGTCCACTTCCATTGAAGGTGGTATCGCAGACAAGTTGTCATATTTTCATTTTTATTAACTTAGTGCACGCGTAGGGGTCTTTCCTGTGGAAGGAAAAAGGAGTACCGGGAGTAAACCCACAGGGTTGAGAAGGCACCCCTATCTCCATGCCACATACGCTCACACCAGGGATCGAACCCACAACCGCAAGCCAGAGGTTAAACGGCCAGTTAGAGGTGGAAGCGCGACACTCTAGACCACTAGGCTATCATAATCCCCCAATGCTGCACTAACATCACATTTAATCTTATACCATAAGTTAAGTGTGACAATACATGTATATCCACTGATTGACTCAAGACGGTCTGGCTCACATGTATGTAATCAAATTTAAATTAATTTAGTAAATGATGCTCAGAATCATTTGATTCACCCAATCATTGTCCACTCATTATAGTAGCCCAAACATTATCCCACTTAATAGCCAGACTCTTTTGTAGTGTTATTATAGTGTTCTTAGGGTGTTGAGATAGCAATCATGAGAGGAGTCGGCCCAGAGTATTAGTAAATTGTATAAAAAAAAAAGCAAGATTTGTATAAAACAACCCCATTTTGTTTAGAAAGTAAACTTTGCTTCCATCATGTATCTTTTATGTCTAACTCCTTACTTTAATGATTCATCTTTTCACTGACAATCTTAATTAAAGAGAATGTTTGATTTGAATGAATACTAATATTTTGTCTAAATACTGGTACCTGTTTTGATGGGGAGGAGTCAACATGGATATATTTAAAGCAATATCCAAGCTCCTCAAATGTATTTAAACAGTTCTGGTGGTTCGCTAAGAACTGATTTTCTTTCTCCAGGGCTTTAACAACCATTTAGTCATATTTAAGTGTATTTCTATACGATTACTGTAAGTATTGAGGTAAGCTTTAACAAAATTCTAACCCACATGTCTGATGTGTATAGGCCTATGATGTACATGTATGAAGTTACATAGAGTTTATCTTATGTGGCATATCTAAAGGTAGTAGTTATTTCCATTATAGGCTTATAATTCGTATATTCTAAATAATTCATTGTGTAAATATTAACAGACCACATATGCTTTAATAACAGTAGGCATAACATTTTTTCATGTGGTATCCACAAGTAACTATCTTCCAACAGTCTGCATAGTAGCAGGTTTACAAATCAAGTTTTATTTTTATAAATTTTAGGTTTATATTTCTATCAAATACACGTACGCACAGAACAGTCCAAAATAACAGCAATGGATAAATTCCCCTGTAATTTGTAAATATCATCACACATATATTATGAAGTCTGTAGGGCCTACATATTACAGTATCCATGAATATGTCTATCTATACCATTGTTCAAACTGCATAGAACTTGTTTAGCACTAAATCATGTCAGCCAAACTTACATCTTCCAAACACGATGTGTATCAGTACAGACGGACCGGAATTGGTTTAACTAATTTAGTATTGATATTAATAGAGAATGCATTTTTCTATTAATATGTTATAATTATAGTCTACTGTACTGTGATTTATGTGTAATAAAACTAATATCTTAGGATAACATTTAGAATAATTTATGTGTAGGTACAACTCATTGATCTCAAGCATAAACAGTGTTGTGTGACAAATGTTAAACGGAATTGTCATATGATATGTAGACCTGCAGTTATTGCTGAAGTGGCAGGTTATAACTGTCCAATTAGTGACTGTACTTCCAGTGTTACGTTGTTATTATAATAGGTCGCTAGCTCTACTTACCTCTTTCGTATCTCGTGCATGTACAACTGGCAAAACATGAGATACATCCCCATGTTTCCATGAACGGTACATCAAATAGCTACCCCCTGTTATAGCACATCCAAACGCAAAAAAAACCTTTCTTGTGTTGTGTTTCGTTGTGTGTTGACTTGTGAGAGCTGTTCGACCGGGAAAAGAATGAAGCAATCTCCGAAGAGAGATCACTCTCCGCGAAGCCATGCTGGTTCCTAAACACAATTAAGAATCTTTATCTTCCAGGTGTTAATTTCCAAGTTTACAAATCACCTTAATTGATAAATAAAGGTAAAATTGTACGAATGACAAGAAGCTAGCCTTCATCCATTAGCTAAAAGCGGAAGCGATCATGACGCATGCGCCTTTTATAAGTCATTATAAATATCAGCCCTTGTCTGCCGGCCCGATTAGTGTGTCTCAATACATCATATCGTAGACTTAGGAAAACTTTACCGAGGGAAAAAAATTACCGTGCTTTTACTAAACTGACAGTTCAATGTTGGATGTTTTAATTATTATGTGAAACTATCAGGCTTTTAAATACAGTGTTTGTCGATGTTAAATTCATTTTAAGATAAGATAACCCGAAGCTAATGAGATTAAAGGTCTAATATCTAAAAGGTGTAGCCTACTCTTACTTTTAGCGATCCAATGTAAGTAAATCAAACAGGGCAATATATAGATGTATATTCAACTGGTTTAAAATTACTGAAGGATTATACATACGACTGGTAACATTTTGAAAACTTCTTGCTTTTCATAAAAGTTTTTAATTTAAAACGCTTCAAATGCGCTGTTTTAAACTCTTGAGATTTTTGACAGTTTAATGTCCTATGTCCAGATACAATTTTCCATTAAGATATTCATGAACTATATTTCTTAAAACGTCGATTATTTGATAAATTTTGTTTAATCAAATAATTTCCTTGTGTCCGAAAGCTTAGTAAGTCTACCACGAATTATGGTTTCTCAACATGTATTTTGAAAAAGATATCGGTGTACAAGTTTTGCCTTCAAGGTGTATAACCATAAAATTTTCTTTTCGTGATCGCAATCTAATACATTATTTGACAAACCGTCTTACTGTAGTGGTTAACTGTGGAATCTATTGTATTATTCTTAGCCTCATAAAATAGTATTTTCTTCTTGATGTTTTGCAAATTCTTCCAAGCTTAAAACTCTATATGATATAACATGTGCTTAATGACTGTTACTATTTTTATTTTGCAGGAGAAGACGTTTTCTTGTAGAAGTGTTTTTGGATGAAAACCTCAATGGGACATAGCAATCAGGCGGATCATAGTCAAATTAGTGTTACGAATTGTAGAAACTTAGCGACGAGCGTCGCTTTGCCAAACTTTGGGAAATCGCTGCAGTACTCGTTTACCTTAAGAAGCGAAAAGTCCGAAATATTTCGGGGATGCACAGCTATGGTTTTATCACACTGCTGTGGTTACACACCCTAGATTGGGACAAAATTATATTTTTTAACTGCTAAGAGAGGAATATTTTACAGTGATAACCTTGGATTAAGATTTATACATTTTTAAAGTCTTGTACTACGTACGTTTATTATTGTGAATGGATTATGAAAAGCTGTCAATAGATATTTTTATTGGATGCAGGCTCTACGTATCGAGGGTGCTTTAAAGGGACATGAACACCTCATTAGGCACTGGTCCTCTACAACTACAGACGGTGATCCCACCTTTACCCAACCCCCCAATTCCAACTCTTGCCCACCGGGGTACCCCTAGAAGGTGGGAGAATATTAGGGACCGGGGTCAGTATCTACAGAATAGAGTGGGTCACTATCTGGAGATCCACCCGAATGGAACAATAAAAGGAAATCTAGGAGAAAAGACTATGTACGGTAAGACCATTCTGCCTATTTCACTATTTTATATTCAGCCTTGACTCCCGCTAAAAAAACCTTTACAACAAATGTAACAATAATTCTATTGTCGACAGACAGCTCTCTTAAGTGATAAAAATTCCCCACAAAATCGCATAACTGTCAAAAGATGTATTTGTCCAAGAACCAGCCCATGTTATCCCATGTTTTGCTGTAATTATTCTGCATACATGTAATGTCGCAACACGTAGTCCGATGGTATTTTGTTACGTTGCTCATGCGTTGCGTTATTGATACATGTATCTAATTATGATATTATGTAGATATGATATAGTTATTTTGATACACTGATAAATAATTTCTTAATGTGATAATGACAAACCCTATTAAGTTTCCACTTAAATCCCCGTAAAAAAATGATAAACCCATTGTCTGAGGGGAACATGTTAGGGCAAGTCGAACACTATAATTTATGTCTGGGCTACTACGATCGGCTGATACGTTTGGCAGGAATAGTATATTTTTTATCTGAGGCTCGCATGTCAAGACGTGGTTCGTGTTTTTTTGGGGTGTTGGAAGTTAAGACGAACTGAAGCGTGTAGTAAAATAGTTTACAAGTCTACTCGCGTCCAAGTACGTTACGTATGTATCAATCGCGTCAGCTGATGATGTAGGTACAAATAAGACATGCATACATAAATAAACATAACCTCATAGTTTTGTTATATCATTTATTGACGGGATCGGTATAGCGTCCTTGTTAATCCATCAATGCCGGCTCCTGAAAACAGAGTATACATGTATGTATATCTGTATGGAACTTGAAAGATAGGTTATCACTCAAGTAGCAAAGATTGTCAAACTGTTGATTGCTTTACCACTTGTCTTCAGCAGATCAAAATTTTCTCTTACTTTCTGTCGGTCGTGTGCTGTACGTACGTCTTGTATATAGGTGAAGTATCTTTTTAGAAAATTTGAAAGGAATATTATCACTCTGTATATTAAACGATTATAGATCACACCCAGCTCCATATTGTATATCGGACGAACAATTATTGGATATCGATCCCGTTTGATCGAAAACACATGCTCTAACATGTAATAAACAATTATTGTAATAATAAATTTAGTGTGTACGATATATAATTGATAGAGATAGACAGACTTTGTAACTGTATGAAACCCGATCATCGTAGGTGTAACAGTACGATCACTTATCACTGCAGACTGTTGGGTGTTTTGATAAAAACTTGGGTACATTGCCAGTCAGAAGGGCTGTAAGTAGATAGGTTATCTTTAATATATCTAACGGTGGCTCTCGTACGTCGTCAACATTCATAACTTTCAGTTCAAATTATGCTTTTAATTACCTATTAGATATTTATATCGGATTTGGGATTTTCGCTTAATGACCTATTTTCTGGTATATTGTGTGTGAGGAACTGTATGGTGTTACATACAGCGGTATCGCACCCGCGTCTCTCGATACTCTCTTATCACCTAAATCGTCCCACAAAACGAACACAGAGAGTTAATTACTATCTAGATCGTATCGAAGTCTATTCTCCTTTCATCTTCATTGGCATTTTATTTAACCTGCGTATATCATTCTGTATCACATATTTGTTGCATTAAAGCCGAAATGTTATCACCAATAAAGGATGTTCTTATCTCAACACCCGTGTACATACATTGCCACAAGTCAATTAATTGAGTAACGATATTATTTGATTTTTAAGAAAACAAATAGTACACGTGCTAGTACTATGACTATGAAGAACTGGAAATTAGGTGACATACAGTCAAATAAAAGAATATTATGAAACAACAGATTGGGTTCCAATTAAAAACTTAGTTATAAATATTTTGGATTGTTCGGGGTTTTTCTCCTTTTTGTTAACAATATTATCTTTACTCGAGTCGAAGAGATCGAAGTTCGATATCAATCACTATCTCTCGAATGAGATGGGTGGCGTGCACGCTGCAGGGGATGCTTTCTTCTTGGAACCGACACAGGCCCTAAATGTCGGATTTCGATATCAGTCATTATCATTTCTGTCACATGAGTTGACTGGGGTGCACCTGACAAGACCTACTCTTATATCGAATTCCAATTACCAAGGGATCTTTTACGTGCACACCAATGGCCAATGTGTACACCGGACCTCGGGTTTTCGTCTCATACGAACGACTATACGTTGGTCCTTGCCAGGCCCTCTGTCCTGCACCACTGACAAGGGGGGAGGGGGCACGCCGGGAAATCTCGACGAACTTTCTCGGCCACGTGACCTCCAGATTAGCGAGCCAACGCCTTACTCACTGAGCCACTGGATTTTTAAATATGTATTGCTCATTAAGTTGGTACGGAAACATTTTAGGCCCAACAACACAATGGTTCATAGTCCAACAACACCTTTTCGTTTTATTTCGATAGTAGTACAGGAATATAGTGTAATGTAGAGTAGTATAAGGATAATAAATGGAAGTAGTTTAGAAGAGTAGCATAAAGTAGTGTATGGTATGTATTACGATCATTAGTGAGGTGTATACTGCCTTGGTCATACATGTAATCACTACCACAGTATACTATTATACACTGCTAGTGCTATGTACTGCACTACAATATATTATATATCACATGCATAATTCCATACCTACATGTATGTCACTCTACACCACTATATACTATAGAGCACAACCTCATAAACTACATGTCTCTATACACTACGCTATACTACACAACACTATTACATATTACACTACCCTGTGCCACTATACCTTACTATAGACAATACACTGCACTATTACATATTAATTACACTATCATCTGCCACTCTACACTACCCTCTTTCATTCTACACTGTCATCTGCCAATCTACACATACTACGACGTATATATACTACACTTAACTACTACATACTACACCACCATCTTCCACTCTATGCTGCTATTTACAACTCGTTGTACATTAAATTGATTGTAAGACTGTCGAACTTTCGGGCTATCGGACCACAGGGCAAATCTACCCATTACCCACAGAATCGGTCCAAATATAAGTCTATATGTCTATTTACTTATTTGAATAATGACATTATATTGTTGAACACCTTTACAATTCAAAGCCCAATTTATTTCTTTAAGGTTTAATGTTTAGTGTAGTGTCACCCTGACAGTCAGTATACATGTATACATTCACACCCAGCTATTTCGATTTTATACGAACATTCAGTACCGGATCTTTTTTTAAGACTGACACAATATGTTAACACCATGCGTGGGTTCTATCAGTGCATTGGAACCCAAGATGTCTAATTATGCACATGTAGTACATATACCTACACGGGGAGATATAATAGATATAATGGAATCACGGGAATCGGTCAAGGCAGCACCACATGCTAAAATGTCTGTATATAGGATGTCTTTTGATCGGAAATTCAAGGTACCAGGAACATGTACGTTATAGTTATTCTAATATAGCGAATGTAAATTGCATTATCTCTTAATCAATGCAACGAAGTACTATTTGCATCGATACAGAGACGGGAAGTTGCGCCTGATTTACTCGATATTTACGTATACTTTTCCGTAAGTCTGTAATTTACATGTATAGTGAAAACCTTGATGGGATGATATACATGTTTGTCTGCTATTCGCAGGTGTGTAGACCTACGTCGTCGATGTGGCCCAATTATAAAAACATTTGTATGGTGTATTAAAATAGACTGTGTTTCAAAAACACGGATCAAAAAAGCCAGAAGTGTGAAAACGAAAAACGGATTTAGCATATAGCCATCCGTACCTCTTAGAAATATAAATTATTAAAATATATTCATGCGAAACGTCGAGCCAATTTCTCAAATAACCTGGTTATGATTCACTTTCAAATATATCAATTATGTATGCACACTGGGTGGTAGGTGTATATAAGTAATATTTTATCTATATTTCATCTGTGTATGGTTATACAATGTAGATATTATATAATGACTGATAAGACGGGGCTACATTCAAGTCATCAATCATTATATTGTAACGTCTTGCTGGACACTTGCTGGTGTAATCACCATATAGCTGAATTTCACACCTCTGCAATCACAAATTTACATAGGTAGATAGATTACCTACTGTAACAGGTATGTATGTATATGTATATATGAAAGGAATGTTACAGTCTCGATATCAAAGGTTAAAGTGACAGTCCAATTCTTTATAACTATTGAAAGTTCAATCATAAAATTTAAAGATCAGGTTTCGGTAACTTTGAATAATTTGAGGTTATTTTCTTTCCCACTAATCAAAGTTATAATACCACTTGAATTTCTTACTCTAAGGTAATCAAAAGGTGGTATTTAATAATTTGATGTAATATTTGAACTGTTTAATTATTAAAGATTTTACCTATCGGGAATACAATTATTAAATTTGGTTCATAAGATGGTTATTACTTTAAATTTTCCCTCATCGTTTGTGAATGTAACCTTCTTATTATATGACATACATCAAGTGAAAGGAGACTACAATACATGCTTGAGTCGGATTGCAGATGTGTTTTCTTGAAAAGTATCATACCGTGACCGTGTTAACAATGAATTTAACTCCTTGCTTGTATACCACCGATCTACATATACAATCAAGCTTTATATCTATGCATATTTTTAGATTGTTTATGAAAAGCTAGACCATTAATATCAGAGAACAATCGCGCATTCTTGAAAATCCACAAATGAAAGGAAAAAAGTGCTGGTATGTTCATGTGCGTATCTCTAAGCATACATATGAAAGATTCTTTAGTTTCGTAAATAAAATATAAATGCTGATATATGTACACGATAATCTGTTTGTTATGTCTAAATGACAGAGAAACTCAAGTGAACTGAAAAAATTGTAATTCTTGATCCGATCCGCCGCTTTTAGTTTAAAGGTAAAATTACATAAACTGACGCGCAAGACTTCAGTCATTGGTGTCGCACCGATTCATCTGATTCCACACACATGCCACAACGAAGCGCGAATC